TCAGAGAACGTGGATCAGTTTTGGGAAGGCCTATGTCCAACAACGGATTTTAGAAAGCTGAAAAATATATATAGATACACACACACATATATGTATGTACTATATATATTGTATCTATCTATTTATCTATATATATATATATATAGCGTATATTGGTATATATATATATATATATATATATATATATATATATATATATATATATATATATATATATTATACTATATGAAAGATAACTAGCTAGTTCGATAGATAGACAGAGCGAGAGAGACATAAACAGACATAACCGGAGTGAGACAGACTGAAAGCTAGACATAGATTAATTGACAGCTCGATATCCAAACCCCCAGAGAGCGAGAGACGGACACAGGGGGGGGGGCGGGAGGCAGGAACCTCCAAACCGGACACGCGCGCGATCTGTGTTGCAGCGAAGCCTCGGCCGCCGCTCTGGCAGACAGCGCGGACGTAAGCGATCGCTGGGCTTCTCGGAAGATCTTGAGGCAGGTGTTGCACTAATTTCTCTTCTCTCTCTCTCTATTTCTCTGTCTCTCCAATTTCTCTCTCTCTCTCTATTTCTCTGTCTCTGTCTCTCTATTCTCTCTCTCTCTCTCTCCGTCAGCCTCCCTTCCCCCTCTTCTCTTCCCACCTTCAAAATTCCCCTTTCGCTTTCCTCTTCCTTTTTGTCTGTCTCCTCCACGCAAGGTTCCATCACCATCCGTAGTTGCGAAAGAACTTGCACCGGATTCCAAAAAGGTCACGGAATCAAAACGATTATGAAAATAAAAAAACAAATATTTGATCTTCATTTCCTCTCCCTCATTTGTCCTGTGCCTCCTCTCCATCCTCTCCCTCTCCTGTCCATTCTCGCCGTGTCTTCTTTCCATCTATCTCCTCGCTTCATTATTCTCTATCTTTCCTTTCCATCCTAATTACCACTCTTCGTCCATCTCCCCTCTCTTCTCCATTCTCACCATGTCCTCTTTGCATCCATCCCTTCGCTTCATTGTTCTCACTCTTTCCTTTCCATCCCCCTTATCACTCTCCATCCACCTCCACTTTCCTCTGCTCTCCATCCTTACCCTCTCCCTCTCCTCTCCCGCCGTGAAGCAGAGAGGGCGGAGGAGACGGAGGCTGGGAATAATAAAAACTTGAAGAACTGAAGCCCGTAGCAACCTCGTCATGTATATCGAAAAAGAGTGCGTCTCTGTTACGTATTATTATAATACAATTATGATAATATTGTCATCGCTTTTCAAGAAGTTTAAACCAAAACAGACGTGATGTCACTTGCATCTAGACCAAAACTTCATGAGAAAAAGAGCGTATCCAATTTGTGGCATGACAAATATCACGAAAAAGTCACCGTGTCACCGCAGTGTACTGGCCTTCACGTAATGTATTACTCAGTACTCAGGATCTTACTCAACACACAAACAACTCACAGCATTCACCCACGCACACGCTGCATCAGACCGTGCACATACCTCTATAAAAACGCTCGTCTGACTCAAGAACGGTGAGGACTGGGTTGGGGCATATGACGTCATCCTCCATTCCTCTGGTAATTACAGGTTACGAAACTTACTTTTTATGCAAATATCTCTTCATAAGACGGATAACCTTAGGAAAAATCACTGACGAATGTAGGAAAACACATCTCCATAATGTTTTTTTTTTGATGATAAGAAAGAAAATCGCTGGGTGTGTTCGAATTCCCGCTCCGAACAGCCATATGAATCCAGATCACAAGCCGACAAT